GATAATAGCAAAAAACAGTACTTTGTCTGGGATACATTTCAAGTTTCCGAATGTGCTGACACTACTTGCAACAGCAAAATTTCTGAATTTTCACTTTCAAAACCATTATTCAATATCGTTGATCGATCGATGGTGCATATTGTATATTAGAAAAATCTCATTACACGCCACTTAACAAAATGTATTAAGAGGTTTATTGTATCTTCTGTGTTGGCATGGTGGTACAGCTGTTAGCACATCTGACGAACAGTTCTGAGGTGGGAGTTTGATTTTGGGCTCTGGCCTTTCTGTGTGGAGTTTGCATGTTCTCCCCACGCTTTCTCTGATTTCCTCCAAGGTGGGTTTGGAAACGGAATACAGAAGTAATGGTCAGAGGTGGAAGGCAGGGGCAGAAGGTAAGGGCAGATGGTGCAGATTGAAGGCAGTTTGTAGGAAGGCAGAGTCTGGAATGTCAAATGACACCAATTAAAGCATGTACAATATTCAACTCAGTATTACACATCTGAAACAGACACTCAGAATAAGTCTTGAAGATATAGAAATGAGATGAGAATCTACAATAAAGGGGGGGCGGGGGGGGGGGGGACGCCGTCAACGTAAACAGTATTTCAACGGCTTTTGTAACTTGGTCTGCAGCCGAAAAAACTCAGAGAAATACTGACATCTGCTGGCACTTACAAAGACTTACAGCACACCTGACAGCCTCAGACACTTCATAAATCTTCCATAAATCTCCCATCCCTTCACAAATGTGATGCTACAATACATTTGCCTTTTGCGTCTTGGATTAAATATACTTGATCAAGCACAGATTATTGGATCAGAGCCACATGCCTCAATGGGTTGCAGGTTTTTTTTTCCGTTGTAGTTGATCAGAATCAGAAAACCTTTAGTCGTCTGACAATGGAGAATTTCCCACGATGATTAACGGATAGCCGCTTTCCATGAAATGTCGCATGTTGTCAGATTCGCTTATCCGCAGGACCGAATCGGGAAACAGTCCTGATCGACTCTGTTTACTAACAGATCTGAACCCCCCTTTCAGTCGCCCCCATCCTTGCGGTAACACAGGATGCGAGGAGACGGACGTTCTTTTACATAAGTCGATCCCGAGAGATAGACGGCTAGGTTCTTAACCGCCTTTGATTTCACAAAGCCAATCTGGATCCGCCTTCGCTTTTTCTTAACTCGAATAAGTAAACTGAGAATCAGAGGTTAATCAGCGACCGCTTTGTTCTGACGATGGCTCTCTCTCGTTTTTCTATATCTGGTGCAATTGTTAATGACCTATTGTTTGATTCAATAATCCTTGTCAAGATCAGTCTGATTTGTTTTTATATGTCACGCCGGAGTAAAACATTTTATTTACTCAACCAATACGCAGATGGATCACACGGCCCGGGGTTAGTGAGCTCGGAACCTTTCATTCATCGATGAAGGTTGAGTGGTGATGTGTATTAAATCACAATTCGACAGAGGTAGATGACAAAAGGAATTTTGAGAAATTTATTATAATGACAATCATTGTAAAACATGCATTAATCAACCGTCGTACCCGCAAGACGCCGAATACTACTGTCGATGACAAAATCATTATTTGGATGGTAATCCTCAACTTGAAATCAATTAGGAACAATAACACAACACACACTGATTATACTAGTAGTAAGGAAAAAGAATGTAATGAAAAATATAAATGAATAAGATGATTAAATGAGATTAAACACATGTCTATCATCAGTGAGGTTTTCAAGAGTGATCAAGTCTGACAGCGCCCAAAGATTTATTATTTGTAACAATTAAAATCACATCTCAGAAACGTAACATGATATCATGTACCGGTATGGACAATCATGTTGCTACAACATCTCCCTTGTAACCAACAGGTCTTGATCTTGTCGTATTCTTCATCAGGAGATATCATTTGGGAGTAAACAACATTCTGCAGCAATCATGTTTACACAAAGCAGTTTCAAAGCGTTCATTATCATAACACAAAACTATTCTAATTTAAATGAATGATACCATGTTATTATTTCAGGACAGCATTCAAGAAAGAAATAACAATGATAATCATAAAACAACAGTTCACAGTAAACACTGTAGAACTGTGTAATTCAACTGTAAAGCTCATCTTTATGCATTACTCATCATTTTGTTCTTTGTTCAGCATTTTTTAAGGGCATTGGCTTTGGTATGTTTGAGTGAACCACGTTGAATTTGTTTACGCTGGAGACGGACCTGTTGCGCGCTGGCGAGTGCTTAATGGACAATTTGTTCTGTCCACTTCTTGCGTTCAAATTGGGAAGTGCCTTCTTCGGCTGAATTTGGGTCGAGTTCTTCGGCCAATTTATATTTGTTGTTTCTTGTATTCTGTTGAGGGAAGAAATTTCATCTGTGCTGCATTTGACAATAAAGTTGTATCCAATCCAATCCAACTTTAGCAATTGTACCATCACTTTTACCATGAAATGGTACACCTTATGAGAATTTTCAGTGAAACACTGCAACAAAATTGTGACACGGCGGATGATCAGGGATGGCTTTGTTTTGTTGATTGAACATAAAAACATATGCAGTTATAAATTGACAGAAAGTAAGTAAAATAGGAAAAGGAAAGCGAAATCAGTCATCATTCAACACAATTATTATGTTCAAGGGAGTAGGAAGAAGTAAAAAAATTATCTAGTCCTACTCCGTGTTATGTGTTTCTATATAAATAGATCAAATTTATATCAATCAGAAAAAAAAAGAAAGAAAGAAGGTTGACGTCTCCATAAAGGCTCATGCTTTTACCCTTAACCGTGATATTTTTACAAATTTTGGTTTGTATCGGGATTTTATACATACACACCCTGGCACTCTTGTGTCAATTTTCTCTTGTATTCATAATGGATGTTGCAGTACCTTTCTCTATCAACTTAATTCAGATTTATTATTATATTTAATTAATGTTTAGAATTTATCACCTTAACTCTGATTGATGTAGGTTGTTTGTACTATTTTTTTGAATTTGTTTTTGAACTCGGCAAGCGATTTACTCATTTTCAGGTCTGTTTCAAAATTATTCCACAGATTAACATCTTTGACAGATCCACTTCTTTGCTTGATGTTTGTTCTTGTTTTGAGTTTTTTGAATAAGTTGGTACCTCTTAAATCATAGCAGCTTTCTCAAATTTCGAAAAACTTCAGAATGTTTTGGCAGAGCAGGTTATTGTGTGCTTTGTACATTAATTGGGCGATATTAAAGTCAACCAGGTCATAAAATCTCATCGTGTTTAATTTGATAAATAGTGGATTTGTGGGTTCCGTATATTTTGATCTATTAATAATTTGGATTGCTTTTTTTTTTGTAGTTTTAGAATAGGAAGTGTGTTTGTTTAACAGGCATTTCCCCATATTCCCACACAGTAGGTCATATATGGTCATAATAATGAAGAGTATAATGTGGACAAAGATCTCTTATTTAGCACATCCTTGGTTTTGTAGAGCATCCCTATAGTTTTGGCTATTTTTCTTTTTACGTTATCGATATGTGGCTTCCAACATAGTTTTGAGTCTATTATTACTAATCCGGAAAACTTGGTTTCATACGCTCTTTCTATCTCAATTGAGTTGACCATAATTTTAGCTTGGTGTTTGATTGGTCTTGTGCCAAAAACAATGAACTTAGAGTTTTTTCAAGTGACAATTTATTACTCTCGAAGTAGTTTTTTCAATTTGTATAATTCATTTTCGACGGTTGTCAGGAGCTGTTTCAGATTTATTCCAGAACAGTAGAAAGTTGTATCATCAGCAAATAGGACACATTTAAATTGTTTTGAGACCTTGCAGATATCAGTTATATATAAGATGAATAAATTGGACCAAGCACTGACCCCTGAGGAACTCCATGAGTGATTTTCAGTTGATTCGTTTTTTTTATTGTTGAGCTGCACGTACTGATATCTGTTATCGAAATAACTTTTTATCCATTTATAAGCTACACCTCTAATGCCATATCTTTCTAGTTCATCCAATAATATACTATGATCTATTGTGTCAAAAGCTTTTTTTAGAACTAGGAAAATCCCAACAGTATATTCCTTGTTGTCTATATTAGTGGCTATTGCTTCCACAAACTCCATAACTGCCATTGAGGTGGTCCGTTTTTCCCTGAAGCCATATTGATTCTCACTTAACAGCGCATGTTTTTGGATAAAGCTATCAAGTCTGCTTGAGAATAGTTTTTCTAATATTTTTGAGAATTGTAGTTGTGATATTGGTCTATAATTTGAAAACAAATGTCTTTCTCCACTTTTATAAATTGGAATAACTTTCGCAATTTTCATTTTTGATGCAGAGATACCAGTTTTGAATGACAGGTTGCATATGTGCGTGAAAGGTCACACGACAAATTCTACATAGTAATCTGTTTTATTATTGTCATATCAATATTAAAGCAATCAGTTGACTTTTTATTTTTAAAAGTTCTGACAATATTTGATATTTCTTCTTGTTTTACAGCAGTAAGGAACATCGTGGAGGCGTTTTTTTTTCTACGTACAGTGTATCTATCTATTTCAAACAAGTTTGTTGGATCAGGAATTTGTTTTGCTAGGTTTCTGCCGATATTGACAAAGTACTCATGAAATTCAATTGCTATTTCTGCAGTTTTTTCAAAAATAGTATTTTTGCCTTTGATAAAATACTCTGGATAATGCACTTTTTTAGGAATATTACTGATAACTTGATTAAATATTTTCCATATTTCTTGTTTGTTACTTTTATTCTGCTCTAATAGTGCATGATAATGGCCTCTATTGCTGGTTCTTATAATATTTACTAGTTTATTTTTATAGGTCTTATATTTTTTTCTGCCTCTTCATTTCTCAATTTTATAAACAATTTATATGAATTGTTTTTCTTTTAAATGCGTTTTCGATGCCTTTCGTTATCCATGGCTTACTTGGGTCTTTATACTTTTTGGAGAGTTAATGGAAAATGTTTATCAAATAGGGAGATTATGGTAGACTGATGTACATAAAACGCTGTATTTGGGTCTTCGTTTGAGTAGACCTCGGTCCAGTTTTGTTTTTCTAGGTCTTGCTTAAAACTTGGGCTTAAAACAGTCCCAACCAGGCTTTGGCTTATATGTGTGCCCAGAAAGAAGGAATCCTTTCAGTGTGTTTGGTAATGGCAAAGCATTGATTCTCTCTTCTAGTGGCCACGGTTGGAGGTGGCCCCTAATAAATGCCCTGCAAATGCGCTTGAGAGTATCTTGAAAATGCGCTTGAGAGGATCTTGCATATACATTTTGAATAGCTGGAGCATATGGGTGAGGGTCTTGTCCAAACGAAAGCGCCCCCAAGATGGGATGCAGGCTCACTCTGGGGTAGTTCACTTTCGCTAGCTCCAACAAAAACTCAGCTTTCTCAAGGAGCTCAGAGGCATAATTCGGATCTGAGCAGTGCCGCAAGGCTGACTGAAGCCCCTGGAGAATAATTGTGGGAGCTTGCCAGTCGGAGTCACTGTCGGCAGAAAACAAAGTGGCTCCGCTCTGGATTATGAGCACAGCCAGGGGGAAAAGCTGCTCAAAGTACTTCAGGCTTGTTTGGGTCAGGGAGGACTCGCCGTCATCGTCAACTCGGCTGGGGTCCATACCATAGGCCAGCAGTAACTGTGTGATTTCCAGGCAGAATTTCCCCGTCTCGGCAGCCTCGGCACTGCCGTCAAGCGCCTGCTGGAACCGGATGACCAACACGGATTGAACTGTTTGGCCATCTTCAGTAGCAGCGTTGACATCAGCACCTGTGCAGAAGGTGCACATTCTTTGCTATCATTTCCTGTAAAACTGACTGATTTCAACGCTGTTACAATGTTGCTAATCCAAAAGAGCTGAAGAGATTACATCAATGTGTGGTCAATACCTCTCTGAAGGAGAAGCTGTATGTTCTCTGGGTTGTTCATGTCTGGGCAATCGTAATTTTCCAAGGCATTAAGCAAAGCAGTGTATCCTTTTGAGACAACAATATAACAATAACTTGTAAACAAAGTCAGCTGACAACTATTAAACCTTGTTTACGCGAGACTGCTTTCAAACAGCAGTGCTGTTTAGGCCCCCCTTTAACACAAGGATGAATAAAATGCAGACTGTAAAAACAGGCCTCAAAGTGATTGTTTGGAAAATGTTGGCTATATTATTTCCCGGGCTATTTTTGCACATGTGCTGCTCAAGATAAGTAGCTTGATATCGTTGCTCCAAAGAAGTGTACACTCCTGCAACTCAAATTTTCAGTTGGCATTTGTTGTGAGGAGACCATCAAAAATATGGTTGGGAGAAGACAAGCAGTTGGTGCACTTATTTTGGTGCACTTATAAGTGCATATTATAGGATTTACAGGTGTGTTTGTAGCTTTGTGTCAATGAGAAATATTTTGATCACGCATTTACCCAGAAAATTTCAAAAGTGGAAAAAAAAAGTCTGTTCTTGTGTCCTTCGGAGGCTAAAACGAAAGCACCTCGTGTATTTCTTGCATTCACGTTGGCACCCAGCTCAAGCAAGGTAAGCAGGCAGGGAAAACAGTCCGGGTCCCGACTGGCAAGATCCAATGGGCTGTCCTCATGGCACTGTTGCGATAATGAACAAAAACATTTTAAAAAACGCTGGAATTCATTTCATTAGACATTTAACCAGTTGGTCCTATTATTTGACTTACCGTGTTTCTTCTTTCAATGTCAGCATTGTGCTCGACGAGCAATTTCACCATATTTGGTCTGTTACTCAGAACTGCTGCATGCAGTGGACTGCCGGGCAATTCGCCTGGGGAATTGATGAAAAATACATGAGTCTTTTGAATGCGTCATCTTCTCTTTGTGAGGGTTTTTTGTCACTGCATTACAGTAGACCAGGGGTGCCCATTATGTCGATCCCGATCGACTGGTAGGTCGAGGACTGGACCCACGTCCGTCCGAGGGGTGAAGAGGAGAAAAAAACCAACCATTTGTGTCTTTGTGCATATGTCAGTCATATATTTGTGTTCATGTACATGGCACCCTAATCATCCTATCAGTCTCATTTTGACAACAAATATTAAGACAACAATAAAAAGCAGGTAAATCTTTCACCGACGTCACCGGCAGTTGCTCGCGCTCAGCAGTCTGCAGTTGCAGCTTGTGATCAGAGCTGTTGCGCTATATCTTTTATCGTTATCATTATTCTCATTCAGTTTTTATCGTTATCATTATTCTCATTCAGTTTTTTTCGTGTACAATTCGCCGAGGGCAGCGGCAAAGAATAGGAATCTAGAGGGCCGAGGGAAGCACCTGAAAACGGTACGTGTGAGCTACGATAGTTAACAGGCTGCAAAAGTATGCCACATGCCTCCATGTCGGGCTGTTGCTCATCATGGCGTGCGTGTGTATGTGCGTGTGCGGTAACGGGGCGATCCTGGGAGGTTGATTGATCGAAAAGTTGATTTTCGGTCCAAAAAGTTTGGGCATCCCTGCAGTAGACCCTGGCTATTCAAGTGGGCAGGGTGACTTGAAAAATGTCTTCCAACACAATTCAAGTTATCTGTTCAAAACAGTCAGTAATGTAATCCAAGTATCATAATATTAAAAGTAATGTAACTCGGGTATTTTGAAGTACTTTTGGATCACTCCTAAACCAAATATTTTGCAAGAATGCCAAATACGTTGCAAGAATTCAAACAAACAAAACAACAACTGTGTAGGATATATATTTTCACATATTTTTCTGGTCTTGTCTTCTGGCTTTTCAATATGCATGGTTTTGGAATGCTGGAGGAAGCCTGAGTGACAGCAATTCATTGCACTTGTAAAGCATACTGCAGACAGACAGACAAAATCCACTGTGTGAGGGAAAGTAAATTTGCCAGCTGTGGTCAAGTTTTTCAAACTTTCTCTCTCTCTCTCACACTCCCCACTTTCAAATCTCACCGTCAGTGAATGTATTCACAGACAAACACACACGATGTGTTGCGTATCTGTTTTCTGTATGTACCCGCTGAGCATTTTTTAAGGACTGATAAATTGATTAAAACCCCTGATTGAGATTGAACTCAAAGTTTTAATGATTAAACGCTGACACAGGCAAGTTAAGCAATTATTTGATCCAAAAATGACATTGGATATGGTCAACAGCCTACAAGGGGAATTTGTCAGAATTACCAGTGTGGGAAGAAGGGCATGCAGGGAGAGAGAGGCATGTGAAAGACAAATGATTTTGTTATTTTCCCATAATTATATCCCCGGGGAAAGATGGCTTTCACAGCTTTTACATTTGACAACTTACGGTATGCTATCAAATATGTATGGACGATAAAAATACTCACTCTACATTTGAAATTTCTTGAAGTAAGGTGATACGCTGGCTAACCTGACAATTTTAATAGAATTTATGTTCAGTTTTTGCCAATTTTAGATTGAAAACCAGAAAACAATGAAATCTGCAGCCAAAAAAGAAGACAGAAATTTTGTTTCTACTGTTTCATATGCTGAAATCAACTATGTGGCATTTGCCATAATATCGTATTGTATATTTAAAAACACAATATCTGTCATGAATACTCGCTCGTTCTAAATTTAAAGACAATTACGGAGCTCACAGGGCAAACACTGAAAGCAAAGTCGTATTCATGCTCACCCTCATAATTAGGGTTTGCTCCGTACTGTAGAAGGATTACAGCAGCCTCCATACTTCCTCCCCCAGCCACCTCCATCAGACAATAGCCGATCGCTTCCAGGAAATCTTGAGATTGGGACTCTCGCTCCAGCAGCTCTATTAAAGAACTGCATCGACGTCTCTCATCTTCTGGTCTTTGTCAGAAAACAAAAGAAGAAATACAATTAAAGCACATTTTAACTGTGAGATATGCTGCCTGTGCCTTGTTTTTAATACTGTACTGACAAGAAACATTTCAGAAAGTTATTTTTCATTTTTTCACATACCTGAAATCATCAGTGAAGCATCTTCCTTCTAGTAAAAGCACTCGCATGATAGCCCTTACCAATTTCCTCGTATTCGATCCTTCGAAAGCCATGGAGGTAAGGCGTGGCTCTACAAATCCTTCAGGCAGTGTTTTCCGACCTTAAAAAAGCCAAGGCACATTGTTAGCAGTTGAAAAAGCTCAGGACACATCACCAAAGAAAACAAAACAAAAAAATATCTCGACGTTATGATGATCTTGACTGAATTTTTTACAAACTTGGTTGAAATGTGAGTCTAGATTGTTGAACACGGAGCCAAAATTCTGTAAGAATTTACCCGATGAGTAATTGAGATATTTTGTTTCAATATGGCATTTTTTTTAAAGGTCGGTAGGGGTGTGTGTGTGCGCTGGCAACCAACAGCTTCAATGTCTTAACGAACTCTTCTGGCAATTCGTCTAAAAACATTTAAAGCCTTCCACAGTGTGTCCAAAGTACCAGAACCAAATAGGATCTTGCTTAAAGAGACGTCCTTTTCAACTTCACCGGTACATTACGCTACTTTCAACCTTCCATGTCTTTTTGTTGTGTAGCGACACCACTTGAGTGACGCGCGACTCTGCTATGGGTGCGTCAGCGCGAACATGTACGCACGCGCGCGTCTTTTGGCTTCAACCAAAGTTCAGTGCTGACGCAACGGACGTCACACATCATAGAGCTTTGATCTACGACCACAGCTAAGCTGGCCTAGCCACGACAACAGCTAAGTTAGTGAGTTAAATTGCTCCATGTACAGCACTTTGTATGCAGCGATGGCTGTTTGAAAGTGCTCTATAAATACAGTTGAGTTGAGTTGAGACGACACGACGCTCGAGGTCGGACGGACACGCTCTCTTTCATAATCTGTCTGTTTTTCCCTTTTCCTCTTCCTGTCCACGTCTTTTTTCGTTCCACCGGGGTTTAGCCAATGTGTTTATAGAGACCAAAATCTCTAGTTGTATCTTCATTTCCCGAACCATTTTATCCTCACTCGGGTCACGGGGGGTGCTACCGCCTATCCCAGCTCTCTTAAGGCAATAGGTGGGGGCACACCCTGAACCGGTTGCAAGACAATCGCAGAGCACACATAGACCAATAGACCAATCGCGCTCACACTCACACCTAGGGACAATTTGGGGCATTCAATCAGCCTGCCATGCATGTCTTTGGAATGTAGGAGGAAACCAGAGGACCCGGAGAAAACCCACGTAGGCACGGGGAGAACATGCAAAAACTCCACACAGGAAGGCCGGAGCTGGAATTGAACCCGGTACCTCTGCACTGTGAAGTCGATGTGCTAACCACTCGACTACCGGGCCGCCCCTCTTCAGTTGTATATTGCAAAAATAATTACTCACCAAATACAGTGATCCCTCGCTCTACTGCGGTTCGTTTAGCGCGCGCGGCTTCAGTGCATCATGTTTTTTTTCCCCTCCAAAGCACTATGTTCTGAAAAAATTGCCGAATGACTCAGAGGTTTTGTGCATTGCTGTAACTTGATTGGTTCCCAACGCTGAGGTCCACCAATGACAGTAGGAGTGGATCTATCCCATGTAGGGTGGTGGT